CCGGGTTCGGGAGTCGGGTCTGGAAGAAGACGCTGGAGGTTAGCTGGAGGTTAGCTAAGGTTAGCTGGAGGTTAGCTGAGGTTAGCTGAGGGTTAGCTGGGGGTTAGCTGGGGGTTAGCTGGGATTAGCTGAGGTTATCTGACGTTAGCCGGGGTTAGCTGGGGTTAGCTGAGGTTAGCCAGGGTTAGTCAAGGTTAGCCGGGGCTAGCCGAGATTAGCCGGCGTTAACACTGATTAGCTGAGTTCAGACCGGGTTAGCCAAGGTTAGGCAGGGGTTAGCCAAGGTTAGCCGGGGTTAGCCAAGGTTAGCTGCGGTTAGCCAAGGTTAGCTGAGGTTAGCTGGGGGTTAATCAAGGTTAGGTGCGGTTAGCCAAACTTAGCCAAGGTTAGCAGAGATTAGCTGGGGTTAGCCAAGGTTAGCTGCGGTTAGTTGGAGTTAGCCAGGGTTAGCCGAAGGTTAGGCAAGGTTAGCTGCAGTTAGCCTGGGTTAGCCAGGATTAGCCAAGGTTAGCCGTGTTTAGCTGAGCTTAGCCAGGGTTAGCCGAGGTTAGCCAGGGTTAACCAAACTTAGCCAAGGTTAGCGAGATTAGCTGGAGTTAGCCAAGGTTAGCCGGGGTTAGCCAAGGCTAGATGAGGTTAGCCAGGGTTAGCCAGGGTTAGACGTGGTTAGCTGAGGTTAGCCAAGGTTAGCTGCTGTTACCTGGGGTTAGCCGGGATTAGCCAAGGTTAGCCAGGGTTAGCTAAGGCTAGATGAGGTTAGCCAGGGTTAGCCAGGGTTAGACGTGGTTAGCTGAGGTTAGCCAAGGTTAGCTGCTGTTACCTGGGGTTAGCCGGGATTAGCCAAGGTTAGCCAGGGTTAGCTAAGGCTAGATGAGGTTAGCCAGGGTTAGCCAGGGTTAGACGTGGTTAGCTGAGGTTAGCCAAGGTTAGCTGCTGTTACCTGGGGTTAGCCGGGATTAGCCAAGGTTAGCCAGGGTTAGCTAAGGCTAGATGAGGTTAGCCAGGGTTAGCCAGGGTTAGACGTGGTTAGCTGAGGTTAGCCAAGGTTAGCTGCTGTTACCTGGGGTTAGCCGGGATTAGCCAAGGTTAGCCAGGGTTAGCTAAGGCTAGATGAGGTTAGCCAGGGTTAGCCAGGGTTAGACGTGGTTAGCTGAGGTTAGCCAAGGTTAGCTGCTGTTACCTGGGGTTAGCCGGGATTAGCCAAGGTTAGCCAGGGTTAGCTAAGGCTAGATGAGGTTAGCCAGGGTTAGCCAGGGTTAGACGTGGTTAGCTGAGGTTAGCCAAGGTTAGCTGCTGTTACCTGGGGTTAGCCGGGATTAGCCAAGGTTAGCCAGGGTTAGCTAAGGCTAGATGAGGTTAGCCAGGGTTAGCCAGGGTTAGACGTGGTTAGCTGAGGTTAGATGGGGGTTAGCTGAGGTTAGCTTAGGTTAACTGGGGGTTAGCTGAGGTTAGCTGAGGGTTAGGTGAGGTTAGCTGAGGGTTAGCTGAGGTTAGCTGAGGTTAGCTGAGGGTTAGCTGAGGTTAGCTGAGGGTTAGCTGAGGTTAGCTGAGGTTAGATGAGGTTAGATGGGGGTTAGCTGAGGGTTAGCTGGATGAGGATTAGCTGAGGTTAGCTGAGGTTAGCTGAGGGTTAGCTGAGGTTAGCTGAGGGTTAGCCGAGGCTAGCTGAGGTTAGCCCGGGTTAGCCAAGGCTAGCTGAGGTTAGCCAGGGTTAGCCGAGGTTAGCCAAGGTTAGCTGGGGTTAGCCAAACTTAGCCAAGGTTAGCCGAGATTAGCTTGGGTTGGCCAAGGTTAACTGCGGTTAGCTGGAGTTAGCCAAGGCTAGATGAGGTTAGCCAGGGTTAGCCCAGGCCAGCGGAGGTTAGCCGGGATTCGCCCAGGTTAGGCTGATAACACAGTAGAACACCCACTCCGTACCTTCTCCTCCTGGATTCTGTCGTCGACGCTGCGGGACGCCGTCTCGTGGGCGCGGTGATTACCCTGGGTTAGCTAAGGTTAGCCGAGGTTTGCCAGGGTTAGCCAAGGTTAGCCGGGGTTAGCCGAGGTTAGCCGAGGCTATCCGAGGGTAGCTGGGGGTTAGCCGAGGTTAGCCGAGGCTAGCCGAGGCTAGCTGAGGCTAGCTGAGGGTAGCCGAGGTTAGCCGAGGCTAGCCGAGGCTAGCTGAGGGTAGCCGAGGTTAGCCGAGGTTAGCCGAGGCTATCCGAGGGTAGCTGGGGGTTAGCCGAGGCTAGCCGAGGCTAGCTGAGGCTAGCTGAGGGTAGCCGAGGTTAGCCGAGGTTAGCCGAGGTTAGCCGAGGTTAGCAGAGGCTAGCTGATAACACAGTAGAACACCCACTCCGTACCTTCTCCTCCTGGATTCTGTCGTCGACGCTGCGGGACGCCGTCTCGTGGGCGCGGAACAGACTGACCGTACTGGTCTGGTCCAGGTCCAGGGCGTTTCCCGCCTCGTCTCTCACCACCAGGTCCAGACCCAGGATCCTGAGCAGAGGAGCAAGAACCAGAGGAGGTTTGACCAGAGGAGGACCACCTTTGACCTTTGACCTCTGACCCAGCCGAAGGTCACGTGACCCCCACCTGTTCCCACAGTCAACTGACTGCTTCGCTGACCGACTGTTCAGTTACCGACTGTTTCATAGACTGACTGAATGTTTCACTGACCGACTGCTTCGCTGACCGACTGTTCGGTTACCGACTGTTTCATTGACTGACTGTTTCACTGACCGACTGTTCAGTTACCGACTGTTCAGTTACCGACTGTTCAGTTACCGACTGCTTCACTGACTAACTGACTGTTTCACTGACCGACTGCTTCACTGACTGACTGTTTCACTGACTGAATGTTTCACTGACCGACTGTTTCACTGACTGACTGTTTCATTAACTGAATGTTTCACTGACTGACTGTTCAGTTACCGACTGTTTCACTGACTGACTGTTTTATTAACTGTCTAACTGTTTCACTGACTGACTGTTCAGTTACTGAATGTTCAATTACCGACTGTTTCATTAACTGAATGTTTCACTGACCTACTGTTCAGTTACCGACTGTTTCATTGACTGACTGTTTTATTAACTGAATGTTTCAATGACCTACTGTTCAGTTAACGACTGTTTCACTGACCGACTGTTCAGTTACCGACTGTTTCATTAACTGACTGACTGTTTCACTGACCAACTGTTCAGTTACCGACTGTTCAGTTACCGACTGTTTCATTAACTGAATGTTTCACTGACCTACTGTTCAGTTACCGACTGTTTCATTGACTAACTGACTGTTTCATTGACTGAATGCTTCGCTGACCGACTGTTCAGTTACTGACTATTTCATTGACTGACTGACTGTTTCACTGACCGACTGTTTCATTAAATGAATGTTTCACTGACCGACTGTTCAGTTACCGACTGCTTCGCTGACTAACTGACTGCATCACTGACTGACTGTTCAGTTGCCGACTGTTTCATTGACTGACTGACTGCTTCGCTGAGCGACTGTTCAGTTACTGACTGTTTCATTGACCTACTGTTTCATTAACTAACTGTTTCTCTGACCAACTGTTTCACTGACCGACCGTTCAGTTACCGACTGTTCAGTTACCGACTGCTTCGCTGACTAACTGACTGCATCACTGATTGACTGTTCAGTTACTGACTGTTTCATTGACTGACTAACTGTTTCACTAACCGACTGTTTCTTTAACTGAATGTTTCACTTACCGACTGCTTCACTGACTAACTGACTGTTTCACTGATAGACTGTTTCACTGACCGACTGTTCAGTTACTGACTGTTTCATCAACTGAATGTTTCACTGACCGACTGTTCAGTTACCGACTGTTCAGTTACCGACTGCTTCACTGACTAACTGACTGTTTCACTGACCGACTGCTTCACTGACTGACTGTTTCACTGACTGAATGTTTCACTGACCGACATGTTCAATTACCGACTGTTTCATTAACTGAATGTTTCACTGACTGACTGCTCAGTTACTGAATGTTCAATTACTGACTGCGTCATTAACTGCATGTTTCAATGACCTACTGTTCAGTTACCGACTGCTTCACTGACCAACTGTTTCACTGACTGACTGTTTTATTAACTGACTGACTGTTCAGTTAACGACTGTTTCATTGACTTACTGTTCAGTTATCGACTGCTTCACTGACCAACTGTTCAGTTACCGACTGTTTCATTAACTGACAGACTGCTTCGGTGGCCGACTGTTCAGTTACCGACTGCTTCACTGACCGACTGTTCAGTTACCGACCGTTTCATTAACAGATTGACTGACGTTTTCTTTGACCGACTGTTTCATTGACTGACTGTCTCATTAACCGACCGCTTCACTGACCAACTGTTTCACTGACTGACTGCTTCACCGACCGACTGCTTCAGCGACCGACTGTTTCACTGATGACTGACTGCTTCACCGACCGACAATTTCATTTACTGACCGACTGTCTCATTAACTGACTGTTTCTCTGACCGACTGTTTCACTGAATGGCTGTTTGACTAACCGCTTCACTGACCGACCGCTTCAATGACTGACTGCTTCTCCGATCGACTGTTTCACTGACCTACTGTTCAGTTACCGACCATTTCATTAACTGACCGACTGTCTAATTAACTGACTGTTTCTCTGACCGACTGTTTAGTTAGTGACCGTTTCATTAACTGGCTGACTGACTTTTTGTCTGACAGACTGCTTCACCGACCAACTGTCTCATTAACTGACTGACTGATTCACCAACCGACTGCTTCTCCGACCGACTGTTCAGTTACTGACCGTTTCATTAACTGACCGACTGTTTCACTGACCGACTGTTTCACTGACCGGCTGTTTCATTAACCGACCGACTGTTTCACTGACCGATTGCTTCACTGACTGACTGCTTCTCTGACCGACTGTTTAACCAACCTAATGTTCAGTTACCGACCATTTCATTAACAGACTAACCGACTGCTTCACCGACCGACTGTCTCATTAACTGACTGTTTCTCTGACCGACTGCTTCTCCGACCGACCGCTTCACTGACTGACTGTTTCACTGATCGACTGTTTCACTGACTTACTGTCTCATTAACCGGCTGTTTCTGTGACTGACTGTTTTTGTGACCGACTGCTTCAGCGACCGACTGTTTCTGTGACCGACTGTTTCTATGACCGACTGCTTCACCGTCTGACCATTTCATTGACTGACCGTTTCTCTGACCGACTGTTTCACTGAGTGCTTGTTTGACTGACTGCTTCACTGACTGACTGTTTCACTGACTTACTCTCTCATTAACCGACTGTTTCTGTGACTGACTGTTTCTCCGACCGACGATTTCATTAACTGACCGACTGCCTCATTAACCGACCGCTTCACTGACTGACTGTTTCACTGACTTACTGTCTCATTAACCGACTTTTTCTGTGACTGACTGTTTCTCCGACCGACGATTTCATTAACTGACCGACTGCCTCATTAACCGACCGCTTCACTGACTGACTGTTTCACTGACTTACTGTCTCATTAACCGACTTTTTCTGTGACTGACTGTTTCTCCGACCGACGCTTCACCGACCGACGATTTCATTAACTGACCGACTGTTTCACTGACCGACTGTTTCTCTGACCGACTGCTTCACTGATCAACTGTTTCACTAACTGACTCCTTCACTGACTGACTGTTTCTCTGACCGACTGCTTCACCGACCGACGATTTCATTAACTGACCGACTGTTTCACTGACCGACTGTTTCTCTGACCGACTGCTTCACTGATCAACTGTTTCACTAACTGACTCCTTCACTGACTGACTGTTTCTCTGACCGACTGCTTCACCGACCGACTTTGACTGACTGACTGCTTCACCGACCGCTTCATTAACTGACCACTTCACTGACTGACTGTTTCACTGACCGACTGTTTCACTGACTTACTGTCTCATTAACCGACTGTTTCAGTGACTGGCTGCTTCACCGACCGACTGTTTCACTGATGACCGACTGCTTCACCGACCGACTGTTTCTCCGACCGACTGCTTCACCGTCCGACCATTTCACTGACTGACTGTTTCACTGACTGACTGTTTCACTGACTTACTGTCTCATTAACCGACTGTTTCAGTGACTGACTGTTTCTCCGACCGACCGCTTCACTGACCGACTGCTTCACCGTCCGACTGTTTCACTGACTGACTGTTTCACTGACTTACTGTCTCATTAACCGACTGCTTCACTGACCGACTGTTTCACTGACTTACTCTCATTAACCGACTGTTTCAGTGACTGGCTGCTTCACCGACCGACTGTTTCACTGATGACCGACTGCTTCACTGACTGACTGTTTCACTGACCGACTGTTTCACTGACTTACTCTCATTAACCGACTGTTTCTGTGACTGACTGTTTCTCTGACCGACTGCTTCACCGACCGACTGCTTCACTGACTGACTGTTTCACTGACCGACTGTTTCACTGACTTACTCTCATTAACCGACTGTTTCTGTGACTGACTGTTTCTCTGACCGACTGCTTCACCGACCGACTGTTTCTCCGACCGACTGCTTCACCGTCCGACCATTTCACTGACTGACTGTTTCACTGACTTACTGTCTCATTAACCGACTGCTTCACTGACCGACTGTTTCACTGACTTACTCTCTCATTAACCGACTGTTTCTGTGACTGACTGCTTCTCCGACCGACCGCTTCATTAACTGACCGACTGTCTCCTCTTCTCCGACCCCCTGACCCCCGACCCCCGACCTCTGACCCACCTGTTGCCGTAGTCGACCTTGGCGGTGACCTTCTTCTTCAGCTCCACCAGGTCGTCCTTGGGCAGCGTTCCCGACACGATCTGGGAGCGATACTCCATCAGGCTGTACGCCATCTGCTGGACGCTCCTGAACAGGCTGCTCCTGTTGGACTGACACACAAACAAACAAACAAACAAATAAACAAGGGCAGGTGGCGACGACGCGGTGGTGAAGCGGCGGCCGGCGGCGCAGACCTACCACGAAGAGTTTGTGCCAAATCTGGGCCCATTCTCTCAGAGTCGCCGAGAGTTCATGAACCAGAGGGAGATCAGCTGGAACGACGACTTCCTGTTGGCTAAGAAGAAGAAGAAGAAGAGGAAGAGGAAGATGAAGAAGAGGAAGAAGAAGAAGAGGAAGAGGAAGAAGAAGAAGGAGAGGAAGAAGAAGAAGAAGAAGAAGAAGA